CTGGGGAATTGCAGAATTTGAAGTCTGCACCTGCTAGCTGGGGAATTCTGGGAGTTGACGTCTTCTGGGAATGCTTCCTGCCTGGATTACCTCGCAAGGCCGACATCCTTCCATCATTCCTTCAAGGGGGACATCTGTCTCCCTTAGCAAAAAAAACAAGGAATCCCAACAGGGCTGACCCAAAACATGATTTCCAGGCTAAAGGAGGGGAGAATGAAAAGTCCAAACACGGGAACCGGGAGGTCCCCTTCAAACCACGTTCTCCCCTAGACCCCCCTCCCCCCCTTTGAGACCACCTAACGGGGCCTGGAACCAGGACCGCAAAGAAGCGGCTGCTGGTTTCCCAAGCCAGCATCCCCCACTTCCCCTGGCCAAGGGATGTGAAATCTGCATCATGGCCAACTGCCAGAATGCAGCAGGAGGCAGCCGATGCCAAGGAGTTTTCCAGGTCCGCCAGAGTCCCACCTCCCTCAGCGCATCCCCCAGATTCCTTGGATCAGGTCCGGCACCGGAGTAGGAGCCCCCAGCCTCAGGGAGTGGCGGAGACAGCCCTGTGGAGGGGGGCTGCAGGACCTTGGGAAAGCTCACCAAGATACAACCCAGGAGAGCAGAGAGGAGCCAAGAGAATCACGTTCTGTTTCATTTTAATTTCCCTTTTTTTCCTCAACTTTCCATTTCCAAAGCAGCCGGCCTTTTTCCTTCTTCCAAGTTTGGCCCATTTTGCTCCTATGCTTTAGCACCCAGAGAAAGTGTCCAGCACACGCTTTTTAGAATACGTGCATTTTTGCCACTTAAACACTCATAGAAGGTAAAGTTAACCTTGCTTTGAGTGAATGCCATGAAATCTGCACATCTCTTCTCGTAGGTGGGTAGATAGATAGATAGATAGATAGATAGATAGATAGATAGATAGATAGATAGATAGATAGAATAGATAGATGGAGAGGTGAAGATAGATAGATAGATAGATAGATAGATAGATAGATAGATAGATAGATAGATAGATAGATAGATATGATGGATGGATGGATGGATGGATGGATGGATGGATGGATGGATGGAAGGAAGGACGTCTGGATGGATGGATAGATAGATAGATAGATAGATAGATAGATAGATAGATAGATAGATATAGATCGACAGAAAGACAGACAGACAGACAGAGAGGTAGATAGATAGAGAGATAGATAGATAGATAGATAGATAGATAGATAGATAGATAGATAGATAGAGATGGAGATAGATAGATAGATAGATAGATAGATAGATAGATAGATAGATAGA